TTACCAGGGGGTTGGAGTTCCAGTGCTAAACCTGGTTACAAGATAGGAAAGCTGAGAAAAAAACAAAAGAGGGGAGACTCCTGGGGAGCAATGTATCTCTTCCTGTAGCTGAGTACTTTGTGTCCTCACAGAATTTTTTTTTTTTTTTTTTTTTTTAACAATGGAATCAGAATCACTGCAAAATTGTTTGGATTCAACAGTCACTCCTTGGACATTTGTTATTTGACACCAAATGTAAAAATATCTACCCAGATCACATCCATGATTCTTATCATCCCCAAAGACTCCTGCCACTCCCCATGGTTCCAATTTCAAAAGGTAAAAAAGGATACACTAGTGAAAAGTCTTCCTCCCCATCTCCCACCTCTGTGCCAATCCCCAGTGGTACCAAGACACAGGTAGGCAAGTGACACACAGTTCCAGAACTGGAATCCCACCTCCATCTCTCAGAAGCTACACCACCTGGGGTGATTCCTGAACTCTTCTGAGCCTCAGGTACCTAATCTGCAAAATGGGCACACTAATACAGGCCTTGCAGAATGGATACCAAGTTGCAAACGGTAACTTGTGTCAAGTGCTGGGTACTTGGTGAATATCTGATTCATTTTCCCTCATTCCCCAGGGCCATACAGCACTGCATGACCTCTGTGCTTGGATCTCCCCTAAGCCTGGAATACCCACGCCCCTCTCTGGGCTCCCTTCCCTTGTTCCTCTGGTGAGTTTTCCCTCAGGCTTCAATTCGACATGACTTCTACTGCAATGAGTCCTCCACCACTCTCCAGGCAGAGTTTGGCATTTTTTGTTGTCTTTATTGCAAACGGTTCCTTACGTGTTCCTGCACGTCGGCACACTTTGTTCCAGATAATGCTAGGTTCACAAGTTTGAATTTTTTTCACCTCTTTATCCCTTGCCCCAATTATAACTCCTGGCACATAGTAGATGATTTATAAATGTTGACTGATCAATGAATGAATGAATGAAAAAGCAGCCCCCATTGTTCATAATGCTAAGAAACTGTGAGAACAAGGCTATGTACTAGGGTGAATTTTATTTTCATGTTGCTTGAGGGGCGCAGAAACTACCTTATTTCAACTTTTGTTTCTGAAAATCATTTCAAGAGGCTTGAGTCCAACTTTCCTTCTTAGTAACTGGAATCCAGTGACTGTGGTCTAATCTTTCTTTGGTTTCTGTTGTGGGAATGTCTCAGAATCTGAAGATAATGTTGTTCAATTGGATGAGGACTGTGGATGCAACGTACAGAAAGCAATCACGATTGGGCCGAATTCTTATGGGCCCCAAGACACAGACTGAGTCTTGTGTGCAGTTAAGGATGTTTACATTCTGATTATTGAGGTTTTTTGTTTTTGTTTTTGTTTTTTTTGAGACGGAGTCCCACTCTGTCACCCAGGCTGGAGTGCAGTGGCGCAATCTTGGCTCACTGCAACCTCTGCCTTCCAGGTTCTAGTGATTCTCCTGCCTCAGCCTCCTGAGCAGCCGGGAACCACAAATGGGCGCCACCACACCCGGCTAATTTTTGTATTTTGGTAGAGATGGGGTTTTACCATGTTATTCAGGCTGGTCTCGAACTCATGATTTCAGATGCTCTGCCCTCCTTGGCCTCCCAAAGTGCTGGGATTACAGGTGTGAGCCAGCGTACCCGGCCATGATTACTGCAGTTTTATTACAAAGCTGTATTGTACTTTAATAGCCATGCTGCCAAACATTTTGAAGCTCGAAAGCTTCAAATATTAAATTACTTTTAAATTTTATTTTTCAAAAGTGATCTAGGCCTGGTTCCTTGCCCCTGAAAACCTCCTCTATTCACCTCTGGGGCCAACAATTTCCATCTTTTAGCTCCCCACCCTCCCCGGTACCACCCCCGCTGCTGGTCTTCATCATCAATCACGACTGGAAGTAACAAGGATTTTTCTGGAATTTCAGCTCTATTCACTGCTGGCATTTTAACCTTGTGTTACTTCTTGCTCTGCTACTGGGTCTCACTGTCCTCCTTGCAGCCAGCTGACCGTTGACCATAACCTGTCTGGCAGCTCAGTACTTCCAGGATGGAGAGCTCAGCTTATTTCTGTCTACATCTTGCTCAGGTCAGATGCTCCAAAACCTCCGTCCACTATGCTTTGTCTCTTGGACCAAACTCCTTCCAGTGTTTGTCTCACATTGTTCAATAATTCATTCAACAGACATCGAGGGCACAATATTGCCAGGCACTATGCCAGGAAGGCCACAAATATGACTGTATCATGCCTAGTTTGCAGGTAAAGAAGCAGAGGTATAGAAGGAATGCAAACAGCTCACTGTCATAAAGCACAAACAAAAAGAGCTGCCAACAGAAGTCAGGTTTGGGAAATGTCAGCTACTTGAAAGCAAGACTCAAGTTTGATTCATTTCTGTTTTTGGAATATAAGCTTTCAAAGAAGGGGACAAGGATGTAACACATTAAAACTGTATTTCAGGCCAGGTGCAGTGGTTGAGAAGAATGTCCATAGTCCCAGCACTGTGGGAGGCCGAGGCAGGCAGATCACCTGAGGTCAAGAGTTCAAGACCAGCTTGGCCAACATGGTGAAACTCTGTTTCTGCTTAAAAAAAAAAAAAAAAAAAAAAAAAAAAAAAAAAAAAAAAAAGTCAGGCGTGGTGGTGGGCGCCTATAATCCCAGCTACTCAGGAGGCTGAGGCAGGAGAATCACTTGAACCTGGGAGGCAGAGGTTGCAGTGGGCCGAGATAGTGCCATTGCACTATAGCCTGGCGACAAGAGCAAGACTGTGTCTCAAAAAAAAAAAAAAAAAAACCCATAAAAACAAGAGTAAAACTCCGTCTCAAAAATAAATAATTAAAAATCAAACTGTATTTCAAGTCTTGGTTGCTGTGAATAATGTTGCAATGAACATGGGAGCATAACTACCTCTTTAAGACCTTAATTTCAATACCCAGAAGTGGGATTGCTAGCTCACATTAGAGTTCTGTTTTTAATTTTTAGAGAAATCTCCATACTGTTTTCCAGAGTGGTTGCACCATTTTACATTCCTAGCAACGGTATACAAGGATTTCCTTTTCTCCATTTTACATTCCTACCAACAGTATACAAGGGTTTGCATTTATCAAATGATAAACAACACTCGTTATCATTTGTCTTTTTGACAATAGCCATCCTAACACACATCCTAACCACATCCTCACTGTGGTTTTGAATTGCATTTCTCGGATCATTAGTGACATTAAACACCTTTTCAAATGCCTGTTGGACATCTGTATGTCTTCTTTGGAGAAATGTTCAGGTCCGTTTTGAATTTTTTTTTTTTTTTTTTTTTTTTTTGCTATTGAAATGTAAGTCTTTACATATTTTGGATGTTAACCTTTAATTATATATGAGGTCTCCCATTTTGTAAGTTGCCTTTCCATTTTGTTGACTGTTTCCTTTGCTATGCAGAAGCTTTCTACTTTGATGTAGTTCCATTTATTTATTTTTGCTTTTGTTGCCTGTGCTGCAGGTGTCATATACAATAAATCACTGCCAAGGCCAATGTCAAGAATATTTTCCCTATGTTTTCTTCTGGAAGTTTTACAGTTTCAGATCTTATCTTTAAGTGTGTAATCCATTTTGAGTTTATTTTCGTGTATGGTGTAAAATAGGGTTCATGGTTTGCATATGAATATCCAGTTTTCACAGCACCATTTATTGAAGAGAATATCCTTTCTCCATTGTGTATTCTTGGCACTCTTGTCAACAATCAGATGACCACAAATGGATGAATTTATTTTTGGGCTCTCCAATATGTTCTACTGGTCTATGTGTTTTTATGCCAGTATCATAAGGTTTTGATTATTATAGGTTTGTAATACATTTTGAAATCAGGAAGTGTGATGCCTCCAAATGTCCATCTATAGATGAATGGATAAAGAAAGTATGGTATTTACATATAATCCAATATTATTCAGCCTTAAAAGGAAAGAAATCCTCCCATATTTGACAACATGAATGAACCTGAAGAACATTATGTTAAGTGAAATATGCCAGACACGTAAGGACAAACACTACAGGATCCCATTTATATGAGGAATCTAAAATGACGAAGCTCTTAAAGCAGAGAGTAGAATGGTGGTTTCCAGCAGGGAGGGGGAAATGGGGATGTGTTGGCCAAAGGACATGAAATTTTTGTCATGCAAGTTGAAAAAGCTCTAGAGATCTACTGTACAGCATAGCACCTATAGCTAACAACATGGTATTATATACCTAAAAGGTTGCTAAGAGGGCAGATCTTATATTACATGTTATCACAAAAAATAAAATATAGAGGGAAGGAAGAAATTTTTGGAGGTGATGGATATGTTTACGGTATCAACTATGATGATAGTTTCATAGATGTATATCTCCAAATTTATCAAATTATATACATTAAATATGTACACACCTTTGCATGTCAATACCTCAATGAAGTGCTTTTTAAAGACATATTTCACATGAATAATACATGTGCATTGAAGGACCTGTAAAACAGAACCTAGCAGCCACCCTTCCAAAGGAAGCATCCTGTAACTGAGAAATAACTTGTTACGAGATTTCCTGCTGAACAAGCCTTAAAAATCACAGTGGAGTACTCCCATATAACACTCTTTTGTGCCACCCAGTGAAGACCCTTGCTTGGTGATTCTACTTGGACTTCAAGACTACAAACACATATGCCTAGTTCATTTCAAAGGGAATGAGATGGAGACCCAGGAAGCTGGCTAGATGAGGAACATCTCACAGATGTCACTGTTCCTTGATAATGGATGAGTCTTTTGTTCTTTGTCTCTGTGTTGTTGCTTCATGTTTGGCCATAAATGATCATTAATCTATGTGGCTAAAAATGTGTGGCTATATTCTTAAGGAGCTCTCAGCCCCTGCTGCAATAGTGAGCAGTAATATAACGTGTTGAGCTAATTGTAATTCATTAAAATAGTATCAACCTACAAACACATCATACCAAACCAAAGCCATGGCTACCTGGTGGCAAGAAGAGGGTATGTGTGAATTGGGCTGAACCAGGCTTCCTTCCTCCTTGGCATGCTGTCATAGATTAAAAGGTCTTTCTCAGTCAGCACAACCAGGGCTGGTTTCCACTGTTTCTCACTTTCCCCTGGCACCTGAAAAAGAAAGCAGAGAACTGTCAAATGACAGCCTGAGAAAAGGATGATTATGAGAAGTTGGCATTCCCCTAATCAGAGGACTCAGCAATACGCTGAGTGTCTTTCGGTTTGGTTGCAAAATCAAGATGGAAAGAACCTTGTCTTTATTCCATCCTTCCTGATCTTTGAAAATATCTGTTGTCTCAAGGGCCCTGAAATGTATAGTCAGGACAGCTAAGAAGCAGTCCAGCTGCCACACATCTGTCACTGTTTCTCACCTGCCAGTCAGCACTGAATCTTGATTTCATAGTGGGAGGCAAATGCCTGGGGGAATAAGTACTTCCAGCTGATTCTCTGGTACAGTAGCATTTTTTAAAAATTATGAAATGGTAAGGTCTAAAAAGTTTTTGAATAAATACCTAAAGGCTCTGGAAAATGTACTATGGTGGCAAATGTCTACCCAGACAGAGTGAGACATCACAGCCTCTTTCCCTAGTCTTTTGCTCTTAGATTGGTTCTGTGATTCAGGCATCATCTTGAAACTTATCTGATTCTGTTGAATGTCCAGTTCCATTCACCACGCAAAATTTATTAACTCAAGGGTTGAGATGACCTGACAGGGATGTGAAAGGATTCTGAAAGTTATCAGTAGGATGATTGGACCAGATGATCTTTGAAAACCCTTCTAATCTGCAGAATCTGTGTAGCTCAGCTCTTATCTCATTAGCCATCCCCCTGGCCTGGTGTTTGCCCTTCCCAAACTTCCTATATGTTCTTCTATCTATATAGGACATTTGATGGACCCTAGGATACATCTTTAAGCTCAGTTTAAAAACTCAGTGAATGCTCAATTCTTGCTACTCAAAATATGGACCATGTTGCAGTAGCATCAGCATCATCTGGGAGCTTGCTAGAGTCTCAGGTCCATCCAGATCTGTTGAATCCAAATCTGCATTTAAACAAAATCTTCAGGTAATCCCTATGCTGATTAAAGAAACACTGCTCCAGATGAGGTTAAGATTGCTTTTGACACTGACAACTAATCCAAGATTTAACGTTGTCATAGCAAGTCACAACTCAAAAATCTATTCAGAATCAAAGTAAATTAGACAGTAAGCTAAATATGTGATAAAGCTAATTTCTTCCCTTTCTAGTCTTATTACTTTAAGTGACACAATGGAATCTGTATAGAGATACAAGCATGTGTGTAGCTCTTGCTTTAAGCTAACACCCTAGTATGAGGAATGAGCGATAAGAGAAGATTTACAGAATGATATAAGGCTTGAGTTCTGTATGTCCTACACGTAGGCTTCCTAAGTGAGTCTGTCATTTATTGCCTGTGTGACTCTGGACAAGATATTCTCTGTGCTTCTATTTCCTTACTGATAAGGATAATATCATACACACCAGTGATTTTGAGTGCTGACTCGGGAGCTAGCAGGCCTGAACACAAATTTGTGTTACCCAATTTACTAGCTGTGGGGGTCTTGGGTAATTCAACTATATTTCTCTGTGTCTCAGTTTCTGGATCTGTAAAATGAGAAATAATAGAACCTATAGTAGAGGGTGGTTGTGAAGATTAAATGAGCTAAAATTTGTAGAAATGCTTAATGCAGTGCAGAATAAGCATCATGTAAGTACCTGTTAAGTAGCACTTACCTCATCATGCTATAGTGGGGATTAAATGAGACAGTATGTGTAATGTGCTTGGCGTGGTAGCTGGCAGATGGTAACACCCTCAGTAAAACACAAGATGGGGAAATCGTGTCAGACACCAATTTTTTGAACATGTCAAAAACGGTGTCCTTTGGAAATGGCATCACTATGACAAGGCAATGACTTTCCTTGGGAAAAATTATAAGACGAGCCAAGAATAAGCTTGGTGCTGACAATTTCAATACTTTTTCTTCCCATCCTTTCCAAAGTTCTCCCAGGAAGAACTCATTGCTTGATGATCACCTTTATATTTTAATGCCTCCCTTCCAGCAATTCCAAACAAAAACTGTGCTTCTGAAGAACTGCCCTCCCCCAGTCCCCTGCTGTAAAGCTATTTATACTAGAACATGAATGACTGTTGACATATTCCTCAATTTGTGCATTTTATGCATATTTTAAAAGCTAGCTTTAGCTTATTGCTTTTGTAAAAGGACTTTTTCCAACAGAACAGCAGCATCTTCAACAGATCAAAATAAATTGTTAGAAAAGGCAATGTACCAGACCCTGCAAGGTGAATAAAGTATGGTCTCAAGGCATAAAGCATTTCTGGCGGGGCTGGGGGGGAGTTCAGCATAAATTTTTTCCAGCTTCCACATTAAACTTAGTAAATTACTTTTCCAGCTCATTAAATAGGACTGGAGAAGCTACAAATGATCCTCCCAAAGTGACTATCTTACTTACCTAGTCAGATGCAATCCATTAACTTTGACCGGAATCGGTCATTTAAATGTGAACGCAACTAAGCATCATTCTTCAAAAACAATATTAAGTTTGCAAAATAAGACTCAACAGTAAATACCAACAGTATAATGCAGACTTCTCTACTGGTGTAATCTCATCTCACCTACGTGTCAAGTGATATACGCAGGTTTAAATAATCCCAAAGCCCTAAAACATTTTGCAGTTCATTGAAAAGTGGTGCGTGGTTATGGTAAACTCTGCTGTGAGTGTGTGTCTGGAATTGGTAGGTTCTTGGTCTCACTGACTTCAAGAATGAAGCCACAGACCCTCGCGGTGAGTGTTACAGTTCTTAAAAATAGTGCGTCCCATTTATTCCTTCTGGTGGGTTCATGGTCTTGCCGGCCTAAAGAGCTAAACTACAGACCTTAGCGGTGAATGTTATAGCTCTCAAACACCGCATATCTGGAGTCCTTCCTTCTTCCTGGTGAGTTCGTGGTCTCCCTGGCTTCAAGAGTGAAGCTGGAGACCTTCGCCTGAGTGCTACAGCTCTTAAAGACAGCATGGACCCAAAGAATAACCCCCAACAAGATTTATGGTAAAAAGTCAAACAATAAGACTTCTCCAGCGTCAAAGGGGATTAGAGGGCAGTTATCACTGCTGGCTCCGGCAGCTTGCGTTTATTCCCTTATTTGACCCCTCCCACATCCTCCTGATTGGTCCATTTTAGAGAGAGCTGATTGGCCTATTTTACAGAGAGCTGATTGGTGCATTTTACATAGAGCTGATTGATGCATTTACAATCCCTGAGCTAGACACAGAGTGCTGATTGGTGCATTTACAACCCTCTAGCTAGACATAAACGTTCTCCAAGTCCCCACTAGGTTAGCTAGATAGAGAGTACTGATTGGTGTATTTACAAACCCTGAGCTAGACACAGAGTGCTGATTGGGGCGTTTACAATCCTTTAGCTAGACACAGAGTGCTAGACATAAAAGTTCTCCAAGACCCCACTAGGTTAGCTAGATACAGAGTACTGATTGGTGTATTTACAAACCTTGAGCTAGACATAGAGTACTGATTGGTGTATTCACAATCCCCTAGCTAGGCGTAAAAGTTCTCCAAAACCCCACTAGACTCAGGAGCCCAGCTGACTTCACCTAGTGGATCTTGCACAGGGGCTGCCAGCGGAGCTGCCTGCCAGTCCCAGCGCCATACACCCTTACTCCTCAGCCCCTGGACGGCTGATGGGACCGAGCACCACCGAGCAGGCTCGGGCTGTGCCGGAGCCCCCCTCAGGGGGGTTCGGGCATGGGGGGCTGCAGGTCCTGAGCCCGGCCCCGCGGGGAGGCAACTGAGGCCCGGTGAGAAGTCGAGCAGTGCCAGCGGGCTGGCACTGCTGGGGGGACCTGGCGCACCCTCTGCAGCTGCTGGCCCGGGTGCTAAGCCCATAACTGCCCTGGGCCGGCAGCGCCAGCCGGCTGCTCCGAGTGCGGGGCCCGCCGAGCCCGCGACTGCGCTGGCCTGTGAGCGCTGCGGGCGCAGTCCCGGTTCCCGCCCGCGCCTCTCCCTCCACACCTCTCCGCAAGCAGAGGGAGCCGGCTCTGGCTTTGGCCAGACCAGAACTGGGCTCCCACAGTGCAGGGGTGGGCTGAAGGGCTCCTCAAGCGCCGCCAGAGTGGACCCCGAGGCCGAGGAGGTGAGTGAGGGCTGTTAGCAGGTTGTCACCTCTCAAGAATACTTGTAGTGGGCACATTCCACTATTCCTGTATGCAGAGCTGTCATTTTAATGCTAATGTAAATGCTTAGAGGTAGAAGGCTGCCTATGAGGACAAACGACTTTCCAACGGGGGGGAAAAATCATGTTGAAGAACAGGAGTTTTTTTGTTTTGTTTTGAGATGGAGTCTCGCTCTGTTGCCCAGGTTGGAGTGCAGTGGCGCGGTCTCCGTTCACTGCAAGCTCCACCTCCTGGGGTCCACACCATTCTCCCGCCTCAGCCACCGGAGTAACTGGGACTACAGGCGCCCGCCGCCACGCCCGCCTAATTTTTTTTTTTTTTTTTTTGTGTTTTTTTTTCGATTTCATATTGTATTTAGTAGAGACAGGGTTTCACGGTGTTAGCCAGGATGGTCTCGATCTGCTGACCTCATGATCCGCCCGCCTCGGGAAGAACAGGGTTTTAAAAGTCATACCTTGTGCTCCATACGCTTCATTATTTCAAACCTTTGAAGGCGAATTTTTGTCAGGCTCAAATATTGGTGCTATTGTTCTAGTGACAAGGTGCATTACAAATCCAGCTTTCCTGGCACCCAAAGTATTCTGATGTGAATACGACAGTTGTGGAGATTTGTTTGCATTTTGTTAACATATGACTCCTGAAACAGATGTGATTTCCATCTTTGCCTGGCTTCCTGCCTTGAGTGCTGCAGTCGTCAGTTTCTCAAGAACTGATCAGATTTCTAACTAAGAAGGTAAAGAAAAGGCAACAGGGGAATAAAACATTCAATTCTGAAATTATTCTGAAGCACAACTTTGGTGAACTGAATCCTGTCCCTGTAATCACTTCCACAGAGCATGATAGGAAAGGTTTACAAAATGGCAAGAATTTGAGAGGTGGTGGTAA